CCATATAAACTACCCATAGATTATAGAAACTACTTCTGAACCATAGAGGGAAAAACATCTGGACCACAGAAACTACCTGGACCAAATTATCTTCAACCTTAGCCTGACCCAGGAGAAGGTTCCAGTGTTGTGGAAAACCTCCTGTCTTGTTCCAGTACCAAAAAAAACCCTCACCCATCAGTCCTCAATGACTATAGACCTGTTGCCCTGACATCCCACATCAGGTCCTAGAGAGACTTTTGCTGACCCACCTGACTAAACAAACCAGGACCCACTGCAGTTTGCTTATCAGCGTGGACTTGGAGTTGAAGATGCCATCGTACACCTGCTTCACAAACTCACCGTCATGTAGAAAAGGCAGACCGCTCTGTGAGAGTCATGTTCTTTGATTTCTCCAGTGCATTTAACACAATCCAGCCTGATCTGCTTTGTCAGAAACTTCAGAAGACTCAGGTGGAGGCTTCAACAATCACCTGGATCAAAGACTACCTGACAGACAGACCACAGTTTGTGAGACTGAAGGGTTGTGTGTCTAACCAGGTGGTCAGTAGCTCAGGAGCACCACAGGGGACTGTACTCGCACCATTCATTTTCACTCTGTACACCTCAGATTTCCAGTACAAAACAGACTCCTGTCATCTGCAGAAATATTCTGATGACTCTGCAGTGGTCGGGTGGGTCAGAGATGGACAAGAAGCTGAGTACAGGGCACTGGTGGACCGCTTTGTGGCATGGTGTGGAAACAATCATCTCATCTTGAATGTGAACAAAACAAAGGAGATGATTGTAGATTTCAGGAGAAACAGGAGCAGGTCCAACCCTATTTCCATCATGAGAGAAGAAGTGGAGGTGGTGAAGTATAAATACCTCGGGGTTCACCTGGACAACAGACTGGACTGGAAATGCAACAGTGAAGCGTCTACAAGAAGGGACAGAGCAGACTGTACTTCTTGAGGAAGCTGAAGTCCTTCAACGTTTCTTCTATAAGTCTGTTGTAGAGAGCTCTATCTCTTCTGCCATCATCTGCTGGGGGAGCAGCACCAGAGCAAGTGACTTCAAAAAGATCAACAAGCTCATAAAGAAGGCTGCCTCAGTTCTGGGGACTCCTCTAGAACCTTTGGAGATAATTGTTCAAAGAAGGATTCTTCATCAAATGAAGAACATTATAGACAACCCTCAACATCCTCTTCATCAGACTGTCATACAACAACAGAGTGTCTTCAGTCAGAGGCTTCTTCAGATGTGCTGTAGGACAGACGCTACAAGAGATCCTTCCTGCCCACAGCCACCAGCATCTAGAACAACTCATTAATGATGAGTTACCACAACATTTAATTCACCTCTGGGATTAATAAAGTATTTTTGAATTGAAATAAATTACATCTGGATCATATAAACTAGTCTTGGACCATAGAAAGTATCTCTAGACCATAGAAACAATATCTGGACCATAGGAACTACACCTGGACCAGCCATTCTGTGTTCATTTCTCCTTCCTTTCCTCTCTAACCTCAGCCAGTGGAGGCCGTGAGGGGCCGAGATGGGATAGAGGCAAGGCGGCCGACTCGGGACCCAAAAGTCCCAGGTTCAATCCCCAGCCATTCCCACATGTCGTGGTATCTCTGAGCAAGACACCTAATCCCTAACTGCTCCCCGGGCGCCTACATAGCTGTCCCCTGCTCCACCTGGGTGTATCTCGGGTGCGGTGGGTTAAATGCAGAGAACCAATTTCATCATTGTATGAGAACATACAACGATGGCAACACATAGCACTTTATTTTACACATGGCTGCTCATCTTTGGCCTGGTTCTGCTGGAGGTTTCTTCCTGTTAAAAGTGAGTTTTTCCTTTCCACTGTCACCATTGTGCTTGCTCAGGACGGGAGGTTGCAAGAAAGTGGGGAATCAACATAATCTGCTGGTTTTCTGTGATAGATAACTTTAACAAACTGGCATTTTATAATCTATATGAATGGGAATTGGCGAAATATAAATAAACTGAACTGAATTGTGTCTATGGGTTTTTCGTTGGAGGTTACTAAAGCTTCAGGAGCAGCAGCTAATCAAAAGCTGCCATGGAAACAGAAGATTAACGGGAGGACATCAATAAGGGTGAATTAAAGCTTCTGCACTGGCACCCTTAATTATCAGTTTGTTATAAACAAAGCAGCAAACATTTGCATCAGATAGTGTTCAGTCCAGAGGAACATTCCTCCAGCACTTCACATGCACATATCTTATCTACCATTTGGCTCCACTGTGGGAAACAACAAACACAGGGAGGGCGTTCTCTATGCTAAACATCCATTAGGAGACATATCTGTCTTGATATCAGTGCAGCAGCTACCAAGTATTTTTTCATGAATTATTAACTTTCGGTGGAGATAAGTGCCGACAGTGCAGGGGAAGGAGCTGCTGCTGCTGCTGTGGTATGATGGATAGCACCCTCGTTCTCATGGGAGCAGAATTAAACATGGGGGGGGGGGGGGGGCAGCTGGAGGAATAAATGAGGTCTACACATCGGCACACAATGCCATTTGCAGGAAATCCAGCTGCTTGTTTTAGCTCCAAAATATCTGGTTGTCAGTTTGTACTCGGCTGTAACGAGTTGAACATCGAACTTGGAATATTTTTTCAGTTTTAACAATAAATTGTGGCGTACGTATGGAGTTTTGGCAGCTTTGTTGTGGAGGAAAAAACATAATTCCTTAACCAAGTAATTTCTGATGATGATGTCGTGTCCGACGATGGCGACCCTGGCCAGCTTCTGGCACGTGCTCGTACGTGGCCGGCAAATCCGAACTTCGCCTTAAATATTTGGTCGCAGGTCACGCAGTGTAGCTGGCCCGCACGGTTGTAGGAGGGTTTAGGTGAATTTGTCATTTGAGGTGTAACTCGGAAAGGCGAGAGTTTTCAAAGTTTGAGACGCCTTTCTTGACCTTTGAACGCCAAATCAATCTTCTTTGAGCAGCGGTGGAAAACGACACGCAGTCAGACTGCGTTTGAAGACGTCCTTATAGCAAAGGTACTGCCCGCCGGAGTTGCGCTTCCCGTTCGAAAGCTCTGAGTAGAATACGCCCTTTGGTAGTCTACAGTCTTCCATTCGCTGGACGTGACCGCACCATCGCAGTTGTTCTCTCATCAGTACGGCCTCCATGCCGGGAGTAATGCACTTGCCGCCGTACACGTCGCACCGCCCTATAAGTCGCATCCATTATGCGTCACCGCAGAAACGTGGGCCGGTGTTGTGCCAAAAATCGATTGGCTGCCAAATGGCGGTCGCGCGAGTGTGCACGAGAGGACTTTAACAATAACTTAACAAGATTAACACCTAAAAACAATTATTTGTTTGCTCGACCTTGTAGCAAAGGTGTCTTAATAAAAGCATTTTGATGTCAAACCAGCTGCATCTCACCTGGGCGGCGCGGTGAAATGCAGCTGGTTTGACATTTGCTCCAGGAGTTCCGGAGAGAGACGAAGGTGGCTTTGTATGGCAAGACAAGTGTCTCATTAATAGCCACTTTTACCTGTTAATGAGAGACTTGTCTTGCCATATTGGTCAAGGGACCTCTAGTGGCTAAAAATGGTAGCGTTCAATATTTTCCATGTCAGAATGAATGAAATCGTCAGATCTCGGCTGAAAATTTGGTTCTAAATATGGAGAAGAACGTATATTAGTTGCTTCTATGTATAAGTAGCAGGACGTGCAAATTTATGCAGAAAGGTGCAACTTATACGGCGAAAAATACGGTATTTGAGCAACAAAGAGCGTCTGCATTTATGACACGATCCCACTATTTGATGCACAAGATGGAACGTAGGAATTTTATATGAAACGCGTCCAGCCTCCTGTCGCCTCCATACAGGCACCAGGTTTCAGAGGCGTAGAAAAGGACCGGCAGTACTGTGACACGGTAAACTGCGAGCTTCGGCTGCAGCGTGACGTCGTGAGATTTCCTGTCTCGTGTCATTTCTGACGACAAACGCTATGAAGTATTAGATATCTGTAATTTAGAACATTTATTTAGTTTTAGTTTAACCTTTTAGTTGACGAGGTAGAGCACACCGAGACGGCTGTTCAAGCGAGAATGGCCAAGAATGGCAGCAGCACGTAAACATGAACAGTCATAAAACCTAAAAGAGTGAAGTCTGGTCCTCTGGACATTCAATAAAAAAATAAAAACTGTAGAAACGTTTCGTCTTTCATCCGAAGGACTTCCTCAGTCTGAGGTACTGTATTCAGCTCAGTCTTATAAACAGCACCTTCTCAGAGCGGATCAACCAGTTTGCTGCTGACAACCAGAACCAGCTGATCACATGGTCCAGAAGGACCAGGACTCTGAGGTCTACACTCATCTCCAGGCCAGCGGTCACTCTTTCAGGGATGAAGATGTTCACATCCTGGACAGAGAGGAACGATGGTTTGAGAGAGGAGTAAAGGAGGCCATCTTTGTGAAAAGAAATCGTCCATCATTAAACAGGGGCGGAGCCTCCGGGTTCAATTGTCCCCCTCTTACAATGCTGTGATTGCTAGTATCACTCAGCCCCCTGTGAACAGTAAACAGCCATCAGTGTGCTAATGATCCATTGTTAGGCTGATGGTCCTTCTTGAGCATGTGATCAGCTGGTTCAGGTTGTCAGCAGCAAACTGGTTGATCCACCCTGAGACGGTGCTATTTAAGAGACTGAGCTGAATACAGCACCTCAGACTGAGGAAGTCTCTCGGATGAGAGTCAAAACGTTTCTACAGTTTGGTTTATTTGAATGTCCAGAGGACCAGACTTCACTTTTTTAGATTTTTCTACCTGGATTATTGAGCATGCATCAGGAGAGTCATAAAACCACAATTCTCAAAGCATAATTAAAACACTTCATAGTAAATAGCGGAAATTTAAAAAGAGAACAACAAACAAAGGGAACAACATGCCCATACAGCTACAAAGCAACGCTGCAAGTCAAAGTTGCTCTGTGTGTAGTCGTGGGCAGTGATATTTAAAGATGCAGTCTTTATATTAAATATAAATATATATTAAATTGAGAATTAATGTTTACCACGAAAAGCTTTTTGTTTGTTTTGTGTTAAACTGGCACATGATCGTGACACGCCAACTGCTTTTCCAGTCGGGGCTTTTTTTTTCTTTTTTACAGCACCTACCTGCCCACTTTCCAAAAAAACTTTATTTTGAAAGGATAATAAAGTGGAAACTATGGTTTCGGGTGAGCTCAGCTTCACTTTCAGAACACGTCCTCCTCAACGGTAATCCATCAGACTGGTGAAAATAAACTGGCTGAATATCCAAAGAAAAACCTGATACAAATTAATTCAAAAAGGGGTTTTTGTGCTTAAAATGCTTGTCCCTAATTGTGTTACCTGAGGGCTAAGTGAGGCCAGGAGCTCCCGGTGACGGTGCACAGGTACGGCTTGGTGTTGAACTGTGAAACGACCAGCTGGAAGGTGAAGTGAGACGTCTCGTATTGTTGGGGGGTAAAGGTCACACTGATCTTCGCTTTGCCACTGGCTGAAATCACACCTGGAAGAACAAACTAAGGTCAGAAAATATAAACTAGGGCTATTAACTTTATTAGTTCCCCTAAACTGATTGATGAAGGCGACCGGTACGTCAAAAATCAGTGTTCCCCCACATCACAGTAGCCCCTCACTTATCGCGGGGATGCGTACCATGAAGCCCCGCCATAAGTGAAAAATCAGTAAGTAGAAATAGTAGTACAGGTAGTAAGTAGTAGTTTATTTTATTATATTTATGGATTTAACAGGCTGACGATAAGTTTCTGGAATGGTCTTTCCAAATTCCCGACCTCAACTGTGTTGAAAGTTTGTGGACTTTGCTTCAAAGCTGGTTTTGTGACGGGAAACCAGTCAGTTTAAATGAGCTCAACCATTTTTACCAAAACAGAATGTTCAAATATCATCAGGATTTATGCCAGAAGATTGTTGATGGACAGGAAACGTGCTTGGTGAAGGTTCAACTCCCTAAGGGAAATTTAACCAAAGATTAGTAAGGGTGAATGTATACCTCTGACTGGTTGTTTTAGAGAAAAGCACAAAGAAATTAAACTCGAACCACCAATTCTAGTTTTAAAACATCTTGGATTTAATCTATGTTGGATTAATCCCAGAAAAATAAACGTTCAACGGATTTCTAAAAGCCAAAATTAATGACGTATATTATCGGGATGAGACTTAAATTTCAATTCCCAACTTTCTTTCTGCTCCAAGATAAATATTAGGACATAAAATACGTATTACCCCAGAGAGCAGAGGCTGAAGTCAAAAAGAAAAACTGCAGTTCCTGTGAAAACACAGTGGGAATGCTTATAGCAGAAGAACCTGCTGAGCAACTGATGAAATCAGCTAAAAACATGCCAAAATGTAGCTGAAATAGAAGAACAGCCCTAATTTAGCAGAAGAAAGCAAAAAAAACCAACTGAAATTGGGGGGGGGGGGGGGGAGTAGCTGAAAGGCAGAAAAGAAGCTTAAACTACCACAAGTGGAAAGAGCTGAAATGAGCTAAAAAATGTGGAATTAGCTGAAAAAGCTATAACTAGCATAAAAACGGCTAAATAGGAGCTGAAATAGCAGAAAAAGCTGAAACTAGCATCATTAAGCTGAAAGGAGTACAACAGGCTGAATTTATCATAAATAATTTAATTAGGCTGAAAGTAGCTGAAATTACCACAAGAAAATTAATTTATCTGAAAGCAGCCAAAAATAGCTAGAAAATGCTAAAAAAATAAGAGTAGCTGAAGAGCAGAATTAGCATGTTTGCCCACTTAGACAAAGAAGCAGAAATGAGCATAAAAAAAGTGGAAATTATCTGAAAAAAGCTAAAAAGTAGCTAAAAAGGCAGAAAGAAGCTTAAAGTACCAGAAGGAAGTGAAGAGAGCACTTTTTTGCTGAATTAGGCTGAAAAAATGTGAAATTAGTGCAAAAAATGTGGCGCAAGCTGAAAAAGCTAAAATTAGCATAAACCAGCTAGGTAGTAGCTGATATAGCAGGAAATGGTGAAACTTACAGAAATAAGCTGAAAGGCATGCACGTTAAAATGAGCAGAAAGACGTTAGAAGAAACACAAAGATGTTGTAGTTAGAGTGAATCTGAAAGGATCAAAACAGCTGAAATTAGATGATGAAAGTAGCTGAATTTTTTTTATTTTGTGCAAGGAAGGTGAAAACAGCTGAAGCAGAACAAAATGTGGAAGGAGCAGTAAACGGTTGTAAACACATCTAAATATTTGAAGGATGGAAAATGAGCTCAGTTAATTTTCTATGAGGAAGAAAATGGCAGAAAAGGCTAAAACTAGACCTGTCACGATAAATTTATCTGGGCGATTGTCTCAGAAATTATTGCGATAAACGATAATATTGTTTGAAATTTGACAATAATTAGTAATTATTGTCAAATTTAAGAAGAAATGTTGGTTTGTTTTGTGTGTAGTACCTTTTTTGACCACTGGATGGCAGTATAAGACTGTTTGAACCGAAGGATGGATAGTGAGGGAGTGAGTGTGTCTCTAAGAAAAATGGGAGGGAGGCCCCTTGACGTGACATGGGCTGTCTCTCTTTGGTTCTCAAAATGGCGGACGCTCGGTGTGGTTTGAGCTCTTTAGCATTTTTCACACAAAGCTTTTAATAAAAAACAGTAAAGAAGTTCTCAGCTTCTTTTTGCAGAGAAAAACAACTTTTTACACGAAGGCACGAGTTTCAACCGTGAATTTTGGAGCTTCGACAAGACGGAGGTTTTTATTCCCCGAGGTCGGTTTGTTAGCTTAGCTCGTAGCTTAGCTTCTCAACTTAGCTGCAATGATCCAAAAACGCAATTTTGGACGGTTAAATGGATTTTAAAGAGAAAAGAGAAGGGGCGGGGTCAGTGAAGAACCGGAGTTGAGCCTTTTGTCGTCCAGTGTCTTCAGTAGAAAGAGAGACACGAAGAAATGATAAAGCCGATAAATGAAAACGAGGTCGATAATTTTCATTCATCGTGCGATGAATCGATTTATTGTTTATCGCGACAGGCCCAGGATAAATATTTCAAAAAGCTAAAGTTGCACCAACACCAAAAGTCACGGCAGGATTGTCCTGAACGAGCCGAACATTTTGATTTATGATTTGTTGAAATAGCACAAAAATAATGGATCCCAATAGAGCGAATGCTTCATAAACAGTCACACAATTAATGTTTGTTTTTTTGTGGTTAAACTTAAAATATTTTCACATTTGTTCTCGTTACTTTTTAAAATATTTTACTCTGCGTGAGTAACGGTGTTTTAAACTGAACATTTCTCGTTCGTTCTCATTTCATCCCTGGTCATGAAGGAGTCGTGATGATCTTCCTGGTTTTGGACCTTTAAAACTTCGGCTACTATAGCTGTTGGTCTGCGTGCGTCTTGAAGTGGTGTTGTGTTTCGTGTTAGCCGAAAGCAGGAAGCACCCGAGCTCGTTTCCAGAAGGAGAAACTCGTTTGTGTCTCTGCTTCTCCGTCTGGGAGTCGAGCCAGCTGTAATCCAGACCCCGAGTGTTCGCTCCCCCCGTCTGTTGTGATGCTATCCAGAGCACGTGCACGAGCGTGCAGGCCGTTCAAACTCATCCACCTCGTGCAACGCAACACAAAGCTCTCCACTGTGGTTGCTCGTATTCTAAAGCTCGTGAGCTAGACGGGAAGCTCTGATCAAACAAACGAAAGGGAGATGACAAAACAGCGACAGGTTTCAGTTGTGACTTCTTGTCAAGTTGCAAACGGTCACTTTTCTGCTGTGAGCACAGCTGAGTGGAGAGGAAATTAAACCCAGGACGAAGAAGAAAAATAAATACAAAGTTCCTGCATACTTCCATGGGAAACGCGCTCAGCTATAACTGGACCTGTCACGATAACAAATTTATCTGGGCGATTAATTGTCTCAGAAATTATTGCGATAAACGATAATATTGTTTGAAATTTGATAATTAGTAATTACTGTCAAATTTAAGAAGAAATGTTGGTTAATTTTTCTGTTTAGTACCTTTTTTGACCAGTGGATGGCAGTATGACTATTTGAACCGAAGGATGGATAGTGAGGGAGCGAGCAGAGTCTCTTTAAGAAAAATGTGTGGGAGACCCCTTGACGTGACATGGGCTGTCCGACCTTTTTTTTTTATTCTCAAAAAGGCGGACGCGTGGTGTGGTTTTAATTTGTCACACAAAGTTTTTTATTAAAAAAAAATCAGTAAACAAGTAGGCCTGTCACGATAACAGATTTATCTGGGCGATTAATTGTCTCAGAAATTATTGCGATAAACGATAATATTGTTTGAAATTTGATAAATAGTAATTATTGTCAAATTTAAGAAGAAATGTTGGTTAATTTTTGTATGTAGTACCTTTTTTGACCAGTGGATGGCAGTATAAGACTGTTTGAACTGAAGGATGGATAGTGAGGGAGCGAGCAGCATGTCTCTAAGAAAAATGGGAGGGAGGCCCCTTGACGTGACGTGGGCTGTCTCTCTTTCCTTTTTTCAGTTCTCAAAATGGCATTTTTCACACAAAGCTTTTAATAAAAAAGTCAGTAAACAAGTTCGCAGCTTCTTTTTAGAGAAAAACAACTTTTTACACGAAGGCACGAGTTTCAACTGTGAAGACAAACTTGAAGGCTCAGAGCGCCGTGTTTTAGCCCCGCCCACGCTACATCAACTTCGTGACTGGTTAATTTTCCTGTAACATATTAAAACAACTCCTCCTGAACTTTGACAGACTTTGGCCTTCTCTGCCGACAGTGAAGTCCTAACCACTGACGACAAACTTTCAAACACCTTTCTGACTGGAGACGCAAATCTAAAAGAATCCGACTGGATAATTGTATTCTCATGAATTTAAAGTTTCTTTCTCAACTGCAAAGTAGTAGCAATAACAAAATAGATATTAGATCAAATAAACATTAAATACAAATGTAACATTTCATATGTACTGAATTCTGAGGCCTTCTACGAAGGCCTAGAAGGCCCCGAGGGTTCACCATTATATACAGTAGATTTTTTCGGCACACGCTTTACCTTTAACAGTCAGGTATTGTTCAATTCTCGTGAGTATTGTTACACCCATGTTTCGTATGTTTAAGTAAACAATTTTACCAGTTCTTACCTTTGAGGGGGTGGAGCGAGAAGGCCTCGTGTTGCTGAATAACAAACAGCTGAAACTCAAAGTCGACCGGACAGCTGCTTCTCATACGAATGACCTGACAATAACTAGAGACGGAGAAAAAACAAGCAAGAGAAAGTTATATCGTTTCCTTCTATGAGTCGACACTAACGGGTGAATGGATGCGAGGCTGAGGAATATAAAGAGACGGATAAGACCATGTGGGCAGACAGGAGGTCAAAAACTCCTTCGCCGCCCTGCACACGCACCTCTGTCCAAGCGGGACAGCCGGCAGGTCAATACGAGGAGGGATGTGCAGGTCGTCGATGACAGGGTAGCCATGAATTGGAACTAACCCGTCGTCCTCGTCCTTAGATGGAGTGCAGGCAGGTTGAGTGAGACGGAGAGAAGATACGGGGGGTGGTAAGATGCATACAGATTGGAGACTTCTCAAGATAAAAATACCTTGAAGAAAAAACCTTAAAGCTCATAAAAGTTCCTGACTGGTGGTAAAGTGTTTGTTAAACTCTATTAAATGTATTGAAGTCCTTGATGCATATTGTCCACTTCCTTTCATGCCAGTTATAGTCGTTTTGGTCAAACCTTAAAAAAACGCTCAATCAGCCACTACCACACAGAGTTTTCACTCAATGTCTGTAAAACTAAAAGAGCTCTTTGCCACTGTCCCCTGTCGCTGTCCCAGTAGTAGATTATGAGATGAGCATTTTTCTGGACTGGGATTGAACAAGTAAACCTAAATGTTTTTGGTGCAAGAAGTGGGTAAGAGTTACACAGTGGAGAAGAACAGAGGTCGTTTGTTTTTTTCTGCTTGTCTGAGGCAGCGCCATGGTGTCCTTGACTACCACAGATTAATGTTCGACCACCGCAATCATTTGAGGAAACTACACTTTTAAGCAATCTCCATCCTTCCACCACGTATCCGTCGTTGGGTCCAAGAAGCAGCAGGTCCAGGAGAGAAACCCGGACATGTCAGTCCCCAGCTCGTTCTGGAGGACCCCCAGGTCAAAGATGAACCATCCACCCCCAGTGACTTGTGGGTCTTCCCCAGGGCCTCCTAACAGCTGTTTAAGCAGTATAAAAACTAGAAAGCATACCATTACATGGGGGCCGTGATGGTGTAGAGGCAGGGCAGCCTGCTTGGGACCCGAAAGTCCCAGGTTCGATCCCCAGTCACTGCACATCACGTGGCGTCTCTGGGCAGCACGCCTCATCCCCAAAATGCCTCCCGGGCGCTTTCAATAGCTGCCCACTGCACCACCTGGTGGTGGATGGGTTAAATGCAGAGACTAATTTCGCCATTGTATGGAAACATACAGTGCTGACATTGTGATGACATTATTATTATTTTTTTTTTTTTTTTTCATAGTTTGGCCAGTCCTGCGATTTATATACTTTTTTTCCTATTCATCACAATTTTTGACTGACGCATTAAATGTTCATTCGTACTGGGGTGAACCAAAGAGTAACCGTTACCATTTGCAGCCGCAAGAGCACCGTCTAGGCTTTTGACAACTACCGGTACCGGTACATGTTGTTCCTCTACCGTTAACCCCCCCATCCCCACAAACATTCACTTAGATACAACTGAGAAAAACTTAACACAAGTAAAATACTCCCAAAAGTGATGTGGAACGAGACTGGTGAATTTACTGGTAACTTGCTTGTCGGACCCTTGTTATGTTAATTAAGCCTGTTCAGGATCCCAGGTATGTTCTCTGTGTTGTTGTTATTTCACATTAAATGTCTGTTGTTGCACTTTGTGAAATACACGTCTAAATAAATGTGACTTATACTCCGAAGAGACTTGTAAATAAAGTTTTTATCCTCTTCATGAGGCATTTTTTGACGGATGCGACCTATACGCCGGAGTGACGTATAGTCCAGAAGATATGTTTCTTCACATGACGGGTGGTCAGTTTGCAGATATATGGCAGCAGCCATCTTGGATTTTGATGTTGTAATCCAACCTTCTTACACCTGGATGTAGCCGTATACCTATATGGAAGTCGAGAACTTCATGCTCACATGAATGGAAGAATGGATGGTATTTCCACTCTGCAGTGGAGGACAGTTATAGACATTTTGTGTTTTCATGTCCGTCTTACCCTTTCGTCAGCAGACAAGGATAAGACGGAAGGCTCATCGTACCTTGCAGCGAACACGGATGCAGTCGTTGAAGTGGCGCCACTTGTCGGGACAGAATGTGACCTTCACGGTGAGGTCGAGGCCCGGGATGAGTCGATTCTTTACAGGGCAGAGACGGGGGAATCGTGAGGACGAACGCTGATTGCATTTTGTGGACGAGTGGCGCTACAGATTAAATACCTTCCTGGTGTACGTCGTCTGGAAGTATCTCGTTTGGGTTGGAATTATGTGAAAATTCACGGCTTCACATGAGATGTTGATGATTTTCTGCTCAAAAAGAGGGAAAATTGGTTTCATCAAATCATGTGCACTTCAGACAGTAATTTCCATACGGCTGATGTTCATATACAGATCAACACTTCATCACATGTAAAGTAGAAAATCAGACCCTATATTTAAAAAAAACAATTTACCCATGACTGAAATCAAATGACAGGAATGAGTGTTTACAAGTTTTGATACCAAACGGAGTAAAAACTAGAGAAACTGCATTTCTTCTGAAAATGCAGTGTGGATGCTTATTGCTGAAGAACATGATGAAAAACAGCTGAAATCAGCTAAAACATGCTGAAATGTAAGAACAAGCCTAAGTTAGCAGAAGAAAGCAGAAAGAACACGCTTGCTAAATTTGGTTTAAATGAGCAGAAATTAGCACAAAAATGTGTTACTTGTCTAAAAAATGCTGAAAGTAGCACTAAATTATTTATTTATTATTTAGACTTTAGCTGAATCCACACGCTTATGATTTAATTTAACAGAAGACACTTTTGAAATAAAGAGACTCCTCCAGGGTGGGAGTTGGGGAGTCGGACTCCTTCAGGGTGGGAGTCGGACTCCTTCAGGGTGGGAGTTGGGAGTTGGACTCCTTCGGGGTGGAAGTCGGACTCCTTCAGGTTGGGAGTTGGACTCCTTCAGGGTGGGAGTCGGACTTCTTCAGGGTGGGAGTCGGACTCCTTCAGGGTGGGAGTTGGACTCCTTCAGGGTGGG